AAAATTATCATTTTTTTTCCTCCTTCCTAATGTTTCAAGTTGTCTTCTTTTATCAGTTTCTTTCTGTTTAGAGAACTTACTTTAGCCATTCTTTTAGGGTAGGCCTGCTGGAAACACATTCTTAGTTTTTCTTCATCTGAGAATGTTTTCATTTTCTCTTCATTACTGAAGGATATTTTTACTGGGCATTGAATTCTGCATCAACAGTTCTTTGCTTTCAGCACTTGAAAACTATGCCACTCCCTGCTAGCCTCCACAGTTTCTGATGAGAAATCTTCTGTCCTTCAAATTGTTTTTTCCCTAAAGCTACAGCATTGCTTCTCTTTAGCTGCTTTCAGGTTTTTCTTTGTAGTTTTCAGAATTCTGACTCTAATATGTCTGGGTATGAATTTCTCTAGGTTTATTCTATTTAGGGTTTGCTCAGCTTCCTGAATCTGTGAGTTTATGTCTTTTGCCAAATTTGGGGAATTTTTATTCTTTATTTCTTTGAGTTCTTTTTCAGCAATCCTTGTTTTCCTTTCCTTCTGAACCCCAGTGACTTGACCATTAGATCTTTTGTTAGAGTCTCCCTGATCCTGAGACTTGGTTCATTTTATTCCTTTTCAGTCTATTGTTCAGTTCCCTTTATTATTCAGATTGGGTGATTTTTATTGTCTTCTCTTTCAGTTCACTGATTTTTTCCTCTGGCCTTTTATTCTGCTGTTAAGTGTATCCATTGAGTTTTTTATTTTGGTTATTCTATTTCTTAGTTCTAAAACTTCCATTTAAAGATCCAGAAGCTGATGGATGTGGGTCTGATCACAATTCAGTGATGACTTATTTATCCCCCACTTCCCTTCACCGTCAGGTGGAAAGAGGAGCTGGAACTGTGGCAGGCAGCACGGAGCAGAAGGGAGACAAGTGAGATAGAAGGCCTCATCTCTACATATTATACATACATAACCCCAGGGAAGACACAGAGACTTGTACTTGCACTGTTCGTGTTGCTGCTCCCTCTGGGGCCTCCCAGCACATGCATGGTCTCTTCACCACTGCCCTTGAGTTCCGTGTCTCCTTCCCCTGCCCCCAGTTGTTGTCTTGGCTGCTCTCCCATAGTTGGCTATTTTTAATTTGGAGCAGTGGGCATGTATGGGGAGGGGACGGGGTTCTTCCCAGACTCAGGTCCCAGCTGTTTATTCCATATCCTCTTCTTCAATAAAACAAGCAAGTTGGGCTTGGTTATTAAATAAATAAATAAATAAATAAATAAATAAATAAATAAATAAAACTTCCATTTAGTTCTTCTGGTTTTTTAATTTCTTTGTTGAAACTGTCTAATTTTTCATCTATTTAGCATGTTCTTAGTTGTTCATTTAAGCATGTTTATTGCGGCTGCTTTGAAATCTTTGTCAGATAATTTTAACAACTTTGTCATCTAGGTATTGGTATCTATCAATTGTCTTTTTTTTCATTCACTTTGAGAACTTCCTTGTTCTTGGCACAATGAGTGATTTTTAAAATAAAAATTTGGACGTTTTGGTATTACTATGAGATTCTGGATATTGTTGAAATCTTCTGCTTTGGCTGCCTTCTTCTGACATTGCCCTTGCAGGGGAAAGGGTGTGGATGCTACCTTGTTGTTGCCAGGTAAGGGTGGAAGTCTGGGCTCCCCACATGGTCTCCACTGGCACCAAGTGGGTCAGGCACTTGTTATCTCCTGGTGGGGATGAAATCCCAGCTTCTTTCTTGGACTTCCCTGATTCCACCTAACTGCTGGGGGAGGGGGCAGTTAGGGCACCTCATTATAGCCTGGTGAGTGTGAAGGTCTAGGCCTCCCACTCAGCTTTTGCTGATGTGGGTGTGAGTGAAACCATAGTTTTTTCTGTGTGTTGGGATGAAATACAGTGATTATTCTCTGTAAGTTTTCTGTCTTGCTAGGCTGCCCCTTTCCCGATGATGTGGCTACAGAGATGAGGCTTTTGTTCAGTCTTTAAAAATCTGAGCCTTTCCAGATTCCTGCCTTTTTCTGCCCCAAGTCTGGAATATAGGAGACAAATAGAAACCCTAGAGAAATCTTCATCATGTCTTTCATTGGGTCCTGAGGTCCCTGTTGGTGTGCCTTCTTCTCTACCCTTCAGAGTCTTCTTATGTTTGTGAAGAAGGGAAAAGTGTATCTACTTCATCTTTCCAGATGTGGAATATCTACATGTGGAATACTGATTTCACAATATTTATTTGATTGCCCCTGGGGGTGACAGGAAGTTGATTTCCTGCCTCTCTCTCTGTCTTTATCTCTCTTTTCTGAAACCATCAGAAACTCTTGCCCTAGAGTCTGGGCAGAGGCTGGTGGCAGGACAGCTCCACTGTGGGAAGTGGGGCTGACTCGGTAAGTGGGTTCATCTGGCATTGAGTTTCCCCTGGTGAGGGCAATAGCACGATGTGAAATATAAGGAGCTCACTATGTGAAAACCAATTTAGAGGAGTTTTAATGACAAGTGCTAGGGATACTGTTCTTAGGGAGAATGATTTCAAAGGGCACCTAAGAGTTTTTTAGCCTAGTCCATGACTGCCTGAGAGTCCTTCACCACTGGAGTTCTGGGAAGTGAGTAGAGATGACCAAAGGGAGGATAGGACCTGGATCTTGTCCTCAGGAAAATTTCTGGCCATCAGGAAAGATTGACATACCTCCTGAACACAGGTAGAGACATCGAATTAGAAGAGACAATTGACATAATAGATGCTGTTGTTTAGACAACAAACGATACATGGGAGGCTGGGAAGAGAGGTGTGATTGGATTAGGAAAGTCATCAGAGAAGGTTTCCGGGGGTGCCTCTGTGGCAGGTTCACAAGACGAGAAGGCCAGGGAGGGGAGGGGAAGTGAAAACCATAAGGAGAGGGGCTGTTTGCTCGTAAGCACACCCACACCACACTGCAGAGTTGGCATTCACAGCATAAATGCCACTGGGGTGATATCAAGGCCTGTGACATGCAGCAGTTTGTAGTTTTGCTGAGATGTGGGTCTGAATCACCTCCACTCCAGTGCTGGTGTGCTGAAATGAGCCAATTAGGGAGTGATTCTGGCTGGAATACTCAGCATTCTCATCACAATGCAGTTTTATTGGTCTTCTTTGTGCCTTACAAAGAAACTTACAAAGGAAGAGAAAAAAAAAAGAATAGAAACTTTGTGTAGCTAAAAAAGATTAAAGGATTGCCAAGTGGCATTGCCTTTAGTGAAATTGAAGACATCTAAGAAAATGATCATTCTTTTTTTTTTTGAGATGGAGTCTTGCTCAGTCGCCCAGGCTGGAGTGCAGTGGCCAGATCTCAGCTCACTGCAAGCTCCGCCTCCCAGGTTCACGCCATTCTCCTGCCTCAGCCTCCCAAGTAGCTGGGACTACAGGCTCCCGCCACCTCGCCCAGCTAGTTTTTTGTATTTTTTAGTAGAGACAGGGTTTCATCGTGTTAGCCAGGATGGTCTCGATCTCCCGACCTCGTGATCCGCCTTCCTCGGCCTCCCAAAGTGCTGGGATTACAGGCTTGAGCCACCGTGCCCCGCCATGATTATTCTTAACTAGAAAACAACTGTATTGTATAAAAAAGAGGGGAGGTTGAATTTGGCAATTGCTTAGTACAACAGTTTTAGGGGCCTATCATAACCTCTGTACAGAAATAGAAAAGAAGGATGGGCCAAGTGTTCATTCAAGTACTCAGCTAGGGAAACACTTGTGTTTTATGGAGCAAATTCTATACTATGGATATATTTGGGATTTGGGATTTGGGAAACTCTTGGGTCACATACTTTGGCAATGTCAAGGATCCATAAAATTCAAATGTCTGCCCTACCTCCCCACCTCCAAAATTGTGAGCTAGGTTGGGTCTTCTTAATTCGGGACCCAAGAGCCTAGCACAGTACCTGGGAGAGAGTCAGCGCTCAATAGAAGTCTGTTAAATGAATGGATAAATGAGTGAACACATAGATGGCTGGCTGGCTGGTTGGATGGATGGATGGATGAATGAAAAAGGCTGGCATAGCTCTGAATGTGGAGTCAGAAAACCAGCCAAGAGGAGTCCTCAAGGCTGGGGCCTGTGCTTTTTTGGGGCATTTTCGTTCTCTGGGATTCACACAAAGAAAGGACTCACTAAATGTTTGCTAAAGGAATGATATCCTCAGTTATGTGAACCTTGGTTTCCCCATTGTTAATATGGATCATCACCATTCCCCTCCAGGCAGACCAAGTGGATTAAATGAGCTTCTTGTGTGAGGAGCTCTTTTATACTGTAAAGTGCTGCACCAGTATCAGCCATCGTGAACGGTGCCAAGTGACCATTATTTCAAGGTCAAGAGTCGGGGTAGTGGGATGGTAAAGGGACAAAGAAGTCAGTGTGTGCAAAGGAAGGTGAGCAGGGCAGCCTGACTGGCACAGAGGAGCAGGAGAGCTGCCTGGGAGGGCACAGCAGGGGGCTGGCAGACAGAGGCTGGGCCTGGATTCCCAGTGTGCTCCTCTCCTATGGCCCTGGCCAGCCATGAAACCTATCTCCAGGAACCCCAGGAAGCCAGGGAGGAGGAGCCTCTTCCTAACCACATAAAAGCTGCTCAGCCAGGGTACCTGAAGCAGCCCATCTGATGCTGGCATGGTTGTGAGATTTCTCACAGATGACACTGTCAATTAAAGGTCTCCCCTCTGTACCCCTACAAACCCAGTCCCACCACTCCCTGGGGAACAGCAATTGAGACTGCGACAAACCTCCCACCCAAGATCTTTCTGTGGATAATGTGCCCATGCTAATTACCCATGTTCATTAGTTAAACTCAAATTACATGAGCAAGACTTGCAAGACTAGCACTTTGGGAGTTTTCAAGTTATTTACCTGGTGTCTGATTTTGCTGGGAGAAAAGGATTTCTTGCTCCCAGGCAAACTGAACCCACAAATTAGGCCAGTGGCTCCCTCCTGAGTCCTATAAAGTGGGAACCCAGGATCACAGGCTGGTGAACTGCATCTCAGCTAAGAGTTGGCATCTTATCCCCACTTTCTGGCCTCCTACCATGAGCCGCCAATTCACCTACAAGTCGGGAGCTGCTGCCAAGGGGGGCTTCAGCGGCTGCTCAGCTGTGCTCTCAGGGGGCAGCTCATCCTCCTACCAAGCAGGGGGCAAAGGGCTCAGTGGGGGCTTCAGCAGTCGGAGCCTTTACAGCCTGGGGGGTGCCCGGAGCATCTCTTTCAATGTGGCCAGTGGCACTGGGTGGGCAGGAGGCTATGGATTTGGCCGGGGCCGGGCCAGTGGCTTTGCCGGCAGCATGTTTGGCAGTGTGGCCTTGGGGTCCGTGAGTCCGTCCGTGTGCCCACCCGGGGGTATCCATCAGGTCACCATCAACAAGAGCCTCCTGGCACCCCTCAACGTGGAGCTGGACCCTGAAATCCAGAAAGTGCGTGCCCAGGAGCGGGAGCAGATCAAGGTGCTGAACAACAAGTTCGCCTCCTTCATCGACAAGGTGGGTCTTCCTGGAGAAAGCTGATCTTGGGCTCCCCATTTTAAGAACTGAGGAGGGAGCCACTCCCCTAATTTGTGGGTTCAATTTGCCTGAGAGCAAGAAATCATTTCTCCTAGCAAAATCAGACACCAGGTAAATAACTTCAAAGCCCCCCAGGTGCTGGGCCCATAAGGCTTGCTCATGTCATAGAGCCCCTTCCTTCCCCCACCTTCATTTTCCTTGGGGCGCTCCCTGTCTGAAGCAGAGGAAGGCAGGACACCTCCCCAGGATGCAGACAGCCCAGGGAGGAACTGGACAAAGCCTGGACATCAGAGGCAAGGGACCAGGGTCAGAGGGGTGAGAAGAGCCAGCAGCCTAGCCCGGGAAGGTGTCCAGGAGGCAGAGAGAGTGGTCTCTGAGTTGAGAAGTAGGAGAGTGACAGCCTTTGAGACTTAGAAGCCAGGTGAAGGAGATGCCCTTGACAACCTGGGGCATCTAGACTGCCATGCTACCCAGCTCTTCCTCCTGTGTCTTCTGACAGCTCAGACTCAGTCTGTAACGCACGCAGCCTATGAGGCAAGGCAGCTGGAGGTCATGGTGCCCTAGAGCAGTCGTTCTCAAAAGTGGCCCTGGAACCAGCAGCATCAACATCACCTGGACGCTTGCTAGAATGCACATTCTCAGGCTTCATCCCAGAGCAACTGAATCAGAGCCTCTGCAGTAGGGCCCAGCACCCTGCATTTTAACAAGCCCTCCAGGTGATGCTGATGCACTCAGGTTTGAGAATCACCGAGGAAAAAAGTTGTAGGAAGGTCTTGGGAAACAGAGACTTCCTAAACTTAGGGGAGCAGAGGAAGCTCACCCAGAGTGATAGTGAGGTAGGGTGGTGAGGCATGAGTAGCAGTTGTCAGACAGAGGTGGGGAAAAGGCAATCTAGGGAGACAGCACGTGCAGTATGGTAGAACTTGTCTAGGGAACGGGAGACCTTGGGTTTACGAGATCACTGTGTGAGTAAAGAAGGAAGCCAGGAGGGCTGACCATATTATGAAGAGCGTGATAAGGAATATGGACTTGACCCTGAGGGTGATGTGGAACCACCCGAGGGTTTTAAGCAGGGGAGTGATATATATGTAGGTTGCAACTTCAGAATGCTTGTTCTGCTGCTAGGGCAATGCTGTGATTGAGATAATAGAGATGCAGACATGAAAGCAACTTAGGAGGGCCGGAGACCCCAGATAAGCTGAGCATCTGCCTCTGATTGGGCTGGGAGAGCCCACGCACAAGGAGGGAGAGAATAGGCAGAGCATGGGCCAGGCCACCAGACCCTAAGCAGAAGGCCCGACAGTGTGAAGGCTAGCACAGGCCAGCTTGTGTCTAAGGAGCTGCCTTGGAGAGATGGCCTGGGCTGAACATGGACATCAGTCCAGACAGGTTTGGATAAGTGCAAAAGAGACAGGAGATCTAGATCCTGATAGTTCGAGAAGGAAATGAAGATGTTGGTGCCCCTCCCGACCTTAGGGGCTGCCTCAGAGTGAGAACTTCAGTCAGATAAAGGACCCTAGGTAAGGATTGGGGGTGTGAGTGGCATGGGTGGCAATTTTTAAGGACTGAGGCTCATTTTTAAAGCTAGTGTAGCATAAGAGAACACAGTTCCTGTCCAGGAAGGGAAATCTCACATCCCCTCTCCGCATTGCTTAAGTATGTGTGGCATGGGTTCCAGGTGCGGTTCCTGGAGCAGCAGAACCAGGTGCTGGAGACCAAGTGGGAGCTGCTGCAGCAGCTGGACCTGAACAACTGCAAGAACAACCTGGAGCCCATTCTAGAGGGCTACATCAGCAACCTGCGGAAACAGCTGGAGACGCTGTGCGGGGACAGGGTGAGGCTGGACTCAGAGCTGAGGAGCGTGCGCGAAGTGGTAGAGGACTACAAGAAGAGGTGAGCAGGATGCCGCTCTAGGCTGGCCTGCCTCCCAGGGTGAGGCTTTCCCAGCAGGCACTGGGATGTTTGCTTCTGGCCTTGGAGGTACTGGGTTCATCTGTCCCGGCAAGATGAGAGCCTTCTTTGGGCAACAAGGCAGACTGGACAGTGGACAACCAGCCTCTTGGGCAGCGTCAGGGCTGTCCTGGCAGGTGACCCCCTCCTTGGCACGCTCCTTCCTGCTCCCCACTCAAGAGTGCCTGTGTTGTGTGTGCCACAGCCTCTTGGTTCCTAAGCTCACCAATGTGCCGCTGAGTTCCAAAGAACCACCCCTGACCCAGCTGCTGCTCTCTGCAGCGGGAAAGGAGTTGGAGTTCCTGTTGGGCTTCCTCCCTAGTTGCCTTTAGGTCCTGGACACCTGGGCCATGCGCCTTCTTTTTCCCCTGGGGGATAGTTCTGGCTTCCTTGGAACCCCTGCCTAGGGATGGAGGGGAGCTGTTGGTAGGGTGTTAGGCAGGAGGATTGACACAAGAATCATGGCTGAAAGGTGTAGCTGGTGTGCTTCTGTGATTCAGATATTGAGTGGGAAGAGGGAGAACTTACTCCCCAGGCATCAGAAGAAATCAGACCTCAAACCACCCAGGCTTAAAAGGAGGTTACTTCATACCCAGCCTCCAACTCTGGCCAAATAGTCCTGGTGTGTTGGGATGGACTTGCAAGGGTATAGAATAATACCTCTTAAAAAGCAGATAATATGGGCATCTCTTTTCCCACTTCACTATGAGAATGTATACACATGCACACACACAGACACACACCCTGCTCACTGTGATGCTTTCCCTGCAGGTATGAAGAAGAAATAAACAAGCGCACAACTGCTGAGAATGAATTTGTGGTGCTTAAGAAGGTGAGGAGGGTACATGGGTTCCCTTCAGTCTCCCAGCAGCGGGTGTTGGGCTAAGAGAGAGGAGCAACTGAGGTCTGAGCGCCCCCGCAGAAGGGCCTGGAGCCGAAGTGCTGAAGGAAGAGTGGAAGGGCTTGCTGCTCGGGACATCTTGGGACACCTGGGTATTGGTTTAGCACATAGCACTTTGTGGACAGGAACCTAGATGTGAATAGTCAGTGCCAACTCATGTCCACTTTGTCTGGGGAACAGGACAGGCTTTGGGAGGGATTGCAGGTTTGCCTTCCAACTCTGCTGGTTTCTGGCAAATCGCTGTGGCTGCCCTTGGCTCCCTCTGTTGGCTGAATGACCGGCTGAGTGGGGTATAGAGTCCCACACCCTTCTCTAAGAAATAGAGGCAGAAGGAGTTCCACAGGCCCATGAAACTTGCCCCAGATTTCACAGTGAGTCTGACAGTGAGTTGTGGCTGGAAGGCAGGTTTCTACCCCTTGGATCTGAAGTCCATTCCTGGGCAGCTAGCTAGGGCAGGGCCTGCGGGTGTCAGTTTGCTGGACAGACCTGTCTGGGCTTGAAGAAAGGTGAGGTCGGGCGTATCTGGATTCTCCATAGGACGTGGATGCAGCCTACATGAGCAAAGTGGAGCTGCAGGCCAAGGTGGACGCCCTGGACGGAGAAATCAAGTTCTTCAAGTGCCTGTATGAGGGGGTAAGACTCCCCCTGCTCCACCTCTGGTTCTGTCTTCTGGAAGGACAGATATGTGATGAACAGTTTCTTACTTATCAGTAACTTAAGCAGTCCAGGGCACCTCTAGCATTGGGGTGCTGAGAAATTTGTAGATCAAAGGTGGGAGTGGCCATCTATCCTGGTGCCCCATCCATCCCTGACTGCCCTGAGGATGTCCTGCTTTCACTTCCTTCAGGAAACCAGAGTCCTTAATGGGTTCAGTGGGAATTGAACTTCAGCCAAGCATATTCTCATTCCTGCTTCTCTTCTCTCTGTGACTGGGGATGCTTCCTGGGGTCTTGGGCAGGAATCCCCAGGGATAGAGGTAGGAAGTCCTCATACCCCTTCTACCTTCTCTATGCACATCTGATTTCAAGCCTCAACCTGTTGGCCAAGCATTCCTGGGATCCTGTGTCCCTTCGTGTCCCATGTGTGGCAGCCAGGTTGTTGTCTTCCACCTTCCCCATTCCTGTCCTGTCTCAGGGGACAGATGTGTGGGCTGTTTTCTTCCTGGGCTGCTTCAAACCCATTCAGCAGTTTTCAGATGTGGTATTGGAACCTCTGGGCTGTGATCTGTGTTCTTATAAGCTTTGTGGGGTGCAGCTTCCATCTGTATGGGATGGTCTAGGGCCATCCCTCTGGGACAGGGCCATCACCTTGGTACCTTTCTCTGGTCACAGAAGGCATTTCATGCTTCCTTGTTTCCCCCCAGGAGATCGCTCAGATCCAGTCCCACATCAGCGACACATCCATCATCCTGTCCATGGACAACAACAGGAACCTGGACCTGGACAGCATCATTGCTGAGGTCCGTGCCCAGTACGAGGAGATCGCCCGGAAGAGCAAGGCTGAGGCCGAGGCCCTGTACCAGACCAAGGTGAGGCCACACAACTCCCTACAGTGACATGTGCAGGGCCCTGCGCTCCAGACTCTGTCTTGTCTGCCCCATGACTCACTGTGGTGACCCATAGCTTGCTGGGAGCACAGCACCATCCTGGGCACTGCGGGAAGCCAGACGGGAGAAAAAGACACAGCTCTGTCCTTGGGACCCACTTAGATCAACAGCACCCCTGGAGGATGCACTCAGCTGAGTGCAGGTGAATGTTGTGCAAACAGAGTCCAGATTGAGGAACTAGGACCAGGTGGGGCAGGTCAGAAACAACTCCCTGGAGGCAGAGAGTTCTGTCTGGAGGGGAGAAGCAACATGAGTAGTTGGCATCTCAACGCCCCCGCTAATTATCATAAATGAGGGGGTCTCTTCAGTGTGATCTGGAATCAAGTAATTTCTATCTTTTCATTCAAGTCTAACTCCAAGGATAAAGCAGAAGTTTGAGTCCTCAGATCTTAACTTCCCTAATGGTGGTAGGTGGAAACTGATTCTTTAGATAATTTGGTTTCTCAGATCAAGATGGCAACTTCCTAATTGTTCCTTGCATTATCAGGCTCTTTCTCAAGGGAATCCACTCTTGGGAGACCTTATCTCATCCCTCTCCCTGCCTTCTTGCTAGCCTGCAGTGGGGGAGGAGGGAGGCTTTCCAGGTCTAGGAGACATAGGCCAGGGCTTCTTGGTGGAGGTTCAAACTCAACTCCTCAGTCCCCAAAGCCTTTCACATTACTGTTGCAAGATAGGGTAGAGAATGGCCAGAATCATAACAGTATTATGATGACTTATTTTGATGATTCCCTTTTAAAGATAAAGAAGGTAGGGCCCAGGGAGTTCAAGTTACTTACCAAAGGCAACAGCTGGCAAGTAACGCAGCTAGATCAGAATCTAGGTGACAGACTTCAACTTCCACTACATTTGGGCAGAAAATCAGAAGTTGACTCTGGGGAAGAAGCATTTACTCTAAGGGCTTTGTGTGGCTTGAGAGAGAAGTGGCAGGAAGATGCTTAGCTGTTCGTCTCAAAATGAAGCTGCTTGGTGTCAGAACCAGTGTACGGGGAGGCATCCTGCTCACACAGCCTTGCAGAGAAGTGGGAGAAGGCTCCTTGTTCAGGGTTGGCACCAAAGATAAAACAAAAGGAGTGAAGAGAGAAGCCCCTCTGCCTTCTCTGCCTTCTCTGCCTTCTGGATGACTTGGCATCTTTAGGAACAATCCTAAATCTTGGGCCATGCTGTGGTGGAGCGCCCAGGGACAGAGACACAACACTCCAGAGTGCTGAACAGTCCCACTTTTGTGTTCCGCTTGAGCCACATTCTGAGTAGAACTGATGTACTCTCTGTGACTGTTTAATAGATGACATCAAAGGCAGAAGTAATTCCAAATTAGTAGATGACCCAAATTTCATGGCTAGTGGTTTTGGGGTATAGCTGAATCTACCCTCATCATGCACACAAAATACTCCTCCATGCTAATCCCTCCCACCATCCCAGCCCAGCAAATCTGCCTGTGGGCTGGGGCCCAGCTAAGGTATCAAGGGGAGAGAGTCACAGAAAATACAGATGGACAGCTCATTGGCTCACTCATTCATTCATCAGATTCTTTTTGAGCACCAACCAGGCACTGTGCTAGGTATTGGGAATTCAAAATTAAAAGGAAAAGTCCCTGCCATCCATTCATTCTGGGTCTGATGGAGAACGCATGGAAATGGGTTCACAATACAGTATACTGTGGGGAGACCTATGGACTGGAGACCTATGGACTGGGCAATGGAATAGAATTGCACCCAAAGAGGACGTCATGGAAGGCCTCATGGAGGAAGTGACTCTGCACTGGCTAAGTTGGAGCTAGCTAGGGAAAAAGGAGGATGGATGGGGGAGGGTTTTTCAGGTCGGAGGAGAGGCTTAGGCAAAGACTCAGAGACACAAGAGCACGTGGGACATCTGGGGGAACTGTGGGACTGTTTGGCCCAGCTGAAGAGTCAGATAGTGTTAGGCGAGGGCAGAAAGAAATGAACCCCTGGATGCCATGTAAGAGTTTGAATTTGACCTTGACTTTGAAGGACGATAGGCAGAGGAATGTCATAATTGGAGTTGTGTGTTATAAGGTTGCCATGTGGAGAGTCTGGGTCATTCAACAGACCTTATGGCCAATTCTAACCACCTATGAGATCAGCCGTGCTTAAGGCAAGCAAATGCAATGGACCAATGCTTTAATGGGAGGTTGCTGATAGATCTGGTGAGGCGGGTGACCTAGACCCACCTCTGCCAGGCTCTACAAGTGCAGGCATAGTCTCTGTACCAGGCTGAGCCCAGCCAGGCCCTGAGTCAGTGTCCTTGCTTTGGTTCCTTTTCCTCCAGTTCCAGGAGCTGCAGCTAGCAGCCGGCCAGCATGGGGATGACCTGAAACATACCAAAAATGAGATCTCAGAGCTGACCCGTCTCATCCAAAGGCTGCGCTCAGAGATTGAGAGTGTGAAGAAGCAGGTGAAGGGGACTGGAGTGTTCCTTACTCACTCCTAAGGGAGGGGTGAACTGCTTAGCACCCCCTGCCCCCTCCTTCTCCTGAGCCTCCATCTCAGAATCCCCTTCCTCAAATGGAGGTCCTGCTCTCATCCCTCACCCTTAGCTCCCATCTGAAGTTAGGAACAATTGCAGATTCTTTTCATAAAGCCATGGGGCCCAGCGTAACCAGTCTCCCAGTCCCAGGTTGACAGGACTCCACCTGGATGTGGCTGGGTCTCTGCTCTAGGACATTGGGCAGGGCAGAGGAGGGCTCAACCACTGAGAGCATGGGAGAGGTGAAGTGAGGCCCAGGGGGGAACTTAGGGGAAAATGCTACCTCCTGACCCCAGTGTGCCAACCTGGAGACGGCCATCGCTGACACCGAGCAGCGGGGGGACTGTGCCCTCAAGGACGCCAGAGCCAAGCTGGATGAGCTGGAGGGCGCCCTGCAGCAAGCCAAGGAGGAGCTGGCACGGATGCTGCGCGAGTACCAAGAGCTTTTGAGCGTGAAGCTGTCCCTGGATATTGAGATTGCCACCTACCGCAAGCTGCTGGAGGGCGAGGAGTGCAGGTGGGTGGGACCGAGGGTCTGAAAGAAACTTTGCAAGTCTCCAAATCAAAGTTTCCCAGAGTGTGTTTGGGAGTGGGGGTGCTAGAGATGTGTTTAATTCACCCACAGGCATAGTTTCAAACAGCATCCAGCCAGATAATGTGACAGCAATTTCCTTTACAGTTCTCTTTTGACTCTTTGAAGAAAGTCTTAACTGGGTGCTGTTGTGTTTTTAACACCTCTCAGACGGCCAGGCGCAGTGGCTCACACCTGTAATCCCAGCTCTTTGGGAGGCCGAGGCAGGTGGATCACCTGAGGTCAGGAGTTCGAGAGCAGCCTGGCCAACACTGGAGAAACCTCGTCTCTACTAAAAATACAAAATTTAGCTGGATGTGGTGGTGCAAGCCTGTAATCCTAGCTACTTGGGAGGCTGAGGCAGGAGAATTGCTTGAACCCAGGAGGCGGAGGTTGCAGTGAGCTGAGATTGCGCTACTGTACTCCATCTTGGGTGACAGAATGAGACTCCATTTCAAAAACAAACAAACAGACAAACAAAACACAAAAACACCTCTCAGACACTTGCAAATATCGCCTATTGATAAACAGACAGTAGATCCCAGGTGCAGAATCTTTGGGAAGATAATAGCATTATGTAGCCCGAAAGTTTTAAATTGTTTTATTTTCATTATATTTATATTTGGTTAGGTAATGACACTGGTTTCTATTTACTCTGGTGATATAAAACTTCTTTTTAAAAGAAATGCACTTTTGTGGAAAAGGCAGTCAATTAAAAATACTAAATATCTAACAGAGCAAGTCAAACATGGTCCTAGCAACAGTCGGAAGGGTGGCACACGAAGCATGAACATTCAAAAAACCCTGTTTTAACCTAGCACCATTTTATAACTGAGACCTGGAGAGAAGTCACTGGTCCCAAAATCATACAGTTAATTCATTAGTACAACTCCTGATCCCGATCTTTCCACACATGTATTTATTCAGGCAGCTGCTCACAGTAGTAAAGAAATAGGTTCAAGAGAAACCCTGCAGGAGGGACCTTGGGGGTGGTCATGTTGTTGGAGGTTCCAAAGTTGGAGGTTCCACATCTCCACAGTGGGAAGAATAGATTGAGGAGGGAGAGGGAGGGCTTAGAGACACTCAGGGACAGCCAGTGCCATCTGGCAAGTGTGGGGTGAATGGAGGCTAAGCCGGTCTGGCTGAGGATCCCCAGCCTGTGTTTAGGCAGTGAGGGCCACTATGGGAGTCCACGTGATTCAGACTCTCCTGTGCTTTTCTCTCTTGCAGGATGTCTGGAGAATACACCAACTCCGTGAGCATTTGTGAGTATTTCATGACTCTGAGGGAATACTTTCAGTCCATCAACAAACACAAGGTGGGTGGGTGTCCACCACCCAGCCCCCTGGAGAACAGCTTGGCTCTGCCTGTTGACCACTTTATCACATGCTCACCCTCCTTGCTGAGACCTGTGGCCTCCGCATTCAGAGCTGCTTCTTCCAGGTGGAGTCAGCGCCCAGCACATTCTGACACTGCACACTGGCCTCTTTCACAGCAGTCTCCCCACTGCTGCGGTGAAACTCTCAGCCCCTCCCCTCTCCTGTCACCCCCAGCCGGCTCTCCTGCATGAAGGAAACTGAGCACAGAGTGGTGCCTCCTTATTGGGAGTGGAGACCGGTGTGTGGACCACTGTGCAAGTCAGTTTAATGCTGGCCCCACAGTGTTTGGCAGTCTCCTTCTTACGGCGGGGCCAGCAGAAACTACCCTAATTTTAACAATCAGGAAATTCTTTTGGAAAATACTCAGAAGGTATTGTAAAGCTAAATGCAAGAACCTGCTGGCTTATCTGATGCTCGAGCATCATCTGTCCCTTGGGGGAAGCCCTTGCTACTCCTGTTTGTTTACAGAATGACAAGGTGCCTGACTTGGGAGTCTTGCAGGGTTGGGGTTCTTCTTCCCGTGCTTGAGTTGCTCAAATGAACCCAAGTTCATGGTTGATGGGAAGTGTTTGCTTAAGAAGCAGACATTTAAGCTAGTGGGGCTGGGAGGTTGGAGGGGGGACTTAGGGCCACCTCTATCCTGAGATATACACTGATCATTCATCCCTCCCTCCTCTGCAGCGGTCATCAACAGCTCCATGGCCGGGACGGCAGGCGCCGGGGCTGGTTTTGGATTCAGCAATGCTGGCACCTATGGCTACTGGCCCAGCTCTGTCAGCGGGGGCTACAGCATGCTGCCTGGGGGCTGTGTCACTGGCAGTGGGAACTGCAGCCCCCGTGGGGAAGCCAGGACCAGGCTGGGGAGTGCAAGTGAATTCAAGGACTCCCAGGGAAAGACCTTAGCTCTAAACTCACCCACCAAGAAAACCATGAGATAAAAGTGAAAGGCAGCCCATTTCCCAGTAGTCTGCCTTGCCCTGGCAGACTGCTCCGGACTCCTCTAGGAAATTCCTCTGTCTCATTTGTCCTCATCTCCTTCTTGCTTTGCTTTGCTGTGGATCTCTCCTCCTTCTCCTTGACCTCTCTGCCTCAGTCTTTGTTAATGTTGAATCAGGATTCGAGAGCTGGAGCCCATCTTTCTGCCTCCATCCAAAGAGGCATTTTAACTCAGCCTCCCCTTCTGGATGAAGACTTGGCCCTTTCTCTGCCTGCATGTCCCTGTGCAGAGGAAGGCTGTCTCTCAAAGGTAACCCCAATCTGCCTGTGCTGCTCTTTCATACCCTGTCTCAGTAACTATTTGGCCATGTGCTCCCTGGGTACACAAGGTTTCGGATCTACTGATAGACCTGCAGGAACTCTCTCGTGTTAGAGCAATAGTGGCTCAGGCAAAACGCCTGGTGGGAGGTTGTATCTTGCATAGCCAATGCGTATTACATAGCCTGGAGTACCCCTCGAGGCTAATTCTATCAACCAAGGGATTTGTGCTCTTCATCTGTGGGTACTTCCTTGTTTAGGCCTCACCTCCCTGCTCCTGTGTCTTACCAATAAACTTATAAAGCCAACGTGGGGTCAGGCTGCTTCTCTCTCCTAAGGGAGTCCTCATCTCAGTCCATGTCTCTTCTGCATGTGGAGTGGTCAGTGAATGGGAGACTGGGGCACCTGAAGTCTGGAAGTATCTTCTGATCTAAGTGAAAGACACCCTACTCAGCCTGGGTGATCTCACCATCACCTTCTAAGTCATGCCTTTCTCAGGCTAATTCTCCAGTGAATGGGGGATCTTTAAGAACATTCGGGTTATTGGCAGGAAAAAGGAGCCCACGCTTGCCTGGTGTCAAGATTTAAAACTGGTCAAGAGGCAGCAGAAGGCCAGTTCTATGTAGCCTAGGGTCAAATTATGATGGCTCCATGTCCCCTAAGAAAAGGCCCAAAGGTAGAGACTCCTCTTTGAAGTAATGACACATGTTCTCTTGGCCCTTAGTAAAGTTCCCACTGAGTTGAGCATGGGTGTTTATGTATATGTGTACATGTATGAGTTTGTTTATGTATGTATGAATATGTGTGTGCATACATGTATGTGTTTAAGAATGGGGCTCTCTGTTACACACACAATTGCAGATTCTTTTCTTTCTTTTCTTTCCTTTTTTTTTTTTTTGAGATGGAGTCTTGCTCTGTCACCCAGGCTGGAGTGCAGTGGCTGGATCTCAGCTCACTGCAAGCTCCGCCTCCCGGGTTTACGCCATTCTCCTGCCTCAGCCTCCCGAGTAGCTGGGACTACAGGCGCCTGCCACCTCGCCCAGCTAGTTTTTTATATTTGTTTTTAGTAGAGACGGGGTTTCACCGGGTTAGCCAGGATGGTCTCGATCTCCTGACCTTGTGATCCGCCCGTCTTGGCCTCCCAAAGTGCTGGGATTACAGGCTTGAGCCACCGCGCCCAGCTTTCTTTTCATAAAGCTGTGGGGCCCAGTGTAACAAGCCTCTCAGTCCCAGGTTGACAGGACTCCACCTGGATGTGGCTGGGTCTCTGCTCTAGGAGGATACGGAGCAGGACAGAGGAGGGCTCAACCACTGTGAGCATGGGAGAGGTGAAGTGAGGCCCAGGGAGGAATTCAGGGGGAAACGTTTGTTTTGAAAATACTCAGAGATTTCTCATAGATTCCAAGGCCATGATGATGGATCAGGATGCAACAGGATGCAAAAGCGAGTGAGAGGCTAGCACACACTCAGGTTGGGGCCCCCATATTGCATCTGAACAGGTCCCTGTGGTTCCTGGGAGGGTCCTAGACTTCAAGTCAATAGCTTTTAATTCAGATTTAGACTCTGCAACTAAGTGGCAATAATGAATGAAGCTCTCATTCTTCTTGAACCTCATTTTGGTAGCTATAAAACACGAAGAATAATGTCTCTAAGTTGTTGTTAAGCTAAAATGAGACAACACGAGGATGTCTTGTGCAATTACTGGCACAAAATTGATGCTTAATAAATGTTAGTGGAAACAAAAGCGTGCCCTCCATATTTTTGGTTTGACTTAATTAGCTCGCTGAAAGAGGTGAACAGCTGCTGGTAAAGCAATTCAAAAATTCAGACTTTAAAGAGATCGTCTCATAAATTACAGCACAAGCTTAATTCCCTAAGGAGAACTGGCAGGCAGAATAATTAGTCTCAGGACTATACTCTTAGAGCCAGTGAAGAAAGTCAGCTCAAAAAATATTCATTAAGCATATATCATATGCCTGGCATGTGCTAGTGCTGGGGATACAGTGATGAAGAAATCTCCTCAATGCCCCTAATGGAGGCATAACCATAAAACACCTAACTGTAACATGGTGAGGTATTAGCAACAATAGAAGACACAGAGGCAGCACAGAGGAGAGAGAGGAACTTCAGGGAGGTCAGGGAAAGCTCACAGGGGAGGCAATATGTGTAGAGGTTTCAGAGGATGGATAGGAATTTACTAGGTGGACAAGAGGAGGAAGTGGGCTTTGTAGTCAGAGGCAGCAGCATGGCACAAATAGGTGACTGTTGCTGGAGTGTGAAGTGTAAGGATGGAGAGGCTTAGTAGGTGGAGAGGGAGGGAGCAGTGGCATCCAGAGTTGGGGAGGCAGGCAGCAGATGTGTAAGAGAGGCCCCTTCACATATGCTAAGAGCGGGGATTTTATCCTGTAGAGCTTGAGAGAGAAGTTAACACCTTGGGTGTCAGATGGACCCTGAGTCAGAAGGACTTTGCCACTTACTAATTGTGTAACTTAGGCAAGATGCTTCTGCTCTATAAGCCTCAGTTTTCTCATCCGTACAAAGGGGTTAATAATTGGAGTTACCTCATAAAGTTGTCATGAGAATTAAATTTAATGAAATAATGTACGAGAATTATTTAGTTCTTCTAGCACATAGTAAGTGCTCCATAAATGGCTGCCCCTATTGTTTTTAGGTGTAGAATATTCTTTCAGGAAACTGAAGTGAGAAGGGAAGTAGAGAATGTCTGATAGTGATCAGAAGATTGTTTGAGAACATGAACTTAGGATATAGAGCATTGGCTATTACGTGAGATTTCTGCCATCTAACTTTTATGCTTGGGTTCATATAATGAATGCTGACAGCCTCAAGAGACAAACCCTGACATCTGAGCAGCTTAACTTAACACAGCAAAGATTTAGTTCTCACTCACTGTCCAAGGCAGGTTAGGGCAGCTGCCCTATGTGGTTCTCCCATTGGGTGTCTCAAGGACCCAGCTCTTCTGCCTTGCAGTCCTGACACATGGGACACATGAACTCCAAGGTCACCAGACAGGGGAAAAGAGAGGGAGGAGGCACATGAGCTGCTTACTGCCCCACCCCAGAAATGACACACTTCAATGCCACTCATGTTTCATTGGCCAGTGCTAGTCACATGACCCCAAACCCCAACAGAATTGCAAAGGAGGCTGGGAAATGACAGGAGAGCAAGGTTATTTGGTGAGCTCTGGCAGTCTGTGGCTCACCTTGCCCAGTCTAGATACCCAAGGCTGATTACCAGGCTGAGAATTCTCTCTCCCTTGGCCAGTGCAGGGATGATGCTGGCCATGATCTCTGCAGTCCACACAACACAAACAATCTCCCTTTGGTTTGGACAGTACACCCCTGGCCATATTGCCATAAACTAGATAAGCCTGCATATTATATTTAGGCCTCCTTCATGTTTTTAGGGAGATATTGTAAGTCTCTTCAGATTTGGGAAATTTAAGTCAATTTAATGGTGAAGTAGAGATATCTTGTTCAGTGTTTCTTAAAGTATATTCCTTGAAACTCTGGCCCCCATAAAGTATTTGGCCAAAGAGAGGGCTCAATGGCCTAAAAAATGGTTTGGAAAACACTGAGCTTTGTGGGGATTTTTTGTTTGTGACAAGAACAGTACTTTATTTCTGATTCTAGAATCAACTTCCCTCCCCTTTCATCTTTAGTTTTTTTTTTTTTTATTTTTGGAAAAACATAACTTATTTATAAAAGCATTATATGCTCATATTGGAGCATTCAGAAATATTAAAAAATAGAACAAAACCCACTGACACTTCCCCATTCACAAGTTCACCTCTCAGCTATCAGGTGTGAAAAACATTAAGTTTTGTATTACCCTTTGGTACAACAGAAAGTATCATGCATCTTTCTGTTATTATTGTTTAATACCATCCACCTGTCTATCCATTCATCCATCTATACACCCGTCCATCTATCCACCCATTTATTTGTTTAATAGACTATTCATTAGAGTAGTTTTAGGTTTACAGCAAAATAGAGTGGAAGGTACTTGGGTTTCCCATTTACCCCTTACCCCCACACATGCATAGCCTCCTCCCTTATCAACATCTCCCACCATAGGGGTACATTTGCTACAACTGATGAACTTACACTGATGCAGCATTACCACCTCAAGTTCATGGTTTACACTGGGGTTCACTGGGAAGTCTGTGGGTTTGGACAAATGTATAATGACATGTAGCCATCATTACAGTACTGTACAGAATAGTTCACTGCTCTAAAATTGCTCTAGCACTAAGCATGTTAATGGGCCTAGAAAATCCTGCAATAAGATGCCTGCTTAATTTTTTTTTAAACCCAGCACAGAATCCATTCTCATACCTTTTTTCCCATGATACCTATTAACTTTCCAGGAACTAGTGTTGCAGGGCAAAGGAGACCCAGTTTAACCAGCAATGCATTTTCAATTCTCGGCCTAGTGTGATTTCATCCATCTTTTGTAGTAAAGATCTAGATTTCAAAGGGCAATGTTCCTTGTCTAGTTTACTAATCTAGGGGTTGCTTTAACCCAAGAACTAATGACAGAGGTGGTCACCAAGGCCTGAGGTGACACCGTAAGCCGCTGTCAGAGGCAGAGGCAATGAGAACCCCACCTCCTAGGCCTCAGCCCCCTTTGATCTGCTGACATTCCCACACATCTGAGGCCTTTGAAATCTGCATGTGTCACTTCTGTCTTTTCATGATCTGTAATAAAGGTGATTCAGGGGTTGAGGAATTCCTTATTCATCCAGCCAGTCAACCCCTCATGGGAAGATAAGAAAAGGTCATCTTACGGTTCCTTAACCCTGGGCATAAGAGCCCTGGTCCCAGGATATCTCAACTCCTTAGAAAATTTCTAGGAAAAAAAAAATGATGTCAAGGACACCCTTTGTCAGTCAATCCTATGTAAAAATTCTCCTCTTTCAATGTAATCCATTCCTTGATTTTATATTCTCAATGGCTGGAATAAATAAATTCATTTTTGTGCTTGTGGAAAAAAAGTGGCTAAAATGACGGGGCAGAGGGAAAATCTCATGTAAAAATGAAAAACATAACCTTGATCTTCTTGAAGGGTCTGCTGGTCACCCAGTCACACTGACACTGCCCTTCTTCCCTTCAGAGGGAATGGACTACAGCCCCTCCTCTGAGGCAGCACTGAGAGCCCGCCCTCTCTCCCACCTAGGACACCCGGACGCTGTTATCTGTTCATCTGTGATCGGCGCCGTCTCCACGGCTTAATAATGCCCTCACAAGTTTGTTCCCGGTGGAGTAAACACTGCGGCTGTTATTATGTCCTGTCATTGGCCCAGTGGAGGCTGTGTCAGCCAATTACCCTCGGGTACCATTTAGCCATCCCATGAGGTCCCCAAAGGGAGCCCAGACTTCAGGATATCACTGAGGATGCAGTAACAAGCCTTGCCCTAAGCACTCTGCTGTTTCACAATCATCCTGAATGTACCCTTGTCCAAGGCCTGGGCTGAGCACTGGGGTAGCAGGGGAGGGAAGGGTGAATCCAGGGGGCCCTGTCAATCGGAGAGAGGAAATGGAACACATACCCAGGACTCAGACAGCTTGAGAAATAAGAGCAATGAAACAATCCCACCTGCATGCCAGAGGAACAGGAGAGCTGTTGCTAAGAGAGGAGGAGACTTGAAGGCAGCTTAAGTTTGAGACAAGGAAATCGGGTTAGGTGGAAGAAGCAGCCTCTGTAGCTTAAAGGGGAATGAAGTTCTAGAATCTAGTTCTTGGTTTTAGATCTGAAGAGTCTTGACCTGTTCCTAATAACTGATCACATTTTGATGCTGAATTAGAAATGACAGGGTTGCAAATGACCTGAGCAGAGGTTTCCTGGATTGGATAAATGAGCCTCTTCTGCTATTAAAAGAAAACAAAAATGAAAACAACTCAAAACCTTAGGAAATATCATCTGCTAAAGCACACCTGAGCCTTCCTGTGCCACCTCCCCAGGCCTTCTTCCCTCCCTCCCAGATAGCATGGTCCCCATTCTTAATCTAGAAATGCTTTAGTGGAGGAACCTTTTCACTCTGGTCCAAAGTCAACCCCCAACACTTGTGACCGCAGCTCTCTGTGTCCTGCCTTCCCCAGTAGACTGAGAGGTCTCTGCAGATGGGGCCAAAATCTCCTCCTGAACTTCCTTCTTGCACACAGGACAGAGCTGTCCTTATGCAGAAGCCTGGGAGGCAGGAGGAGGACAGACTAAGGATGATTTTCTGGGATATTCTTGACCCTATTCATGGCCTTCTGAAGCAGAAGCAGCCTGGACATCTGCTTCACACACCTCCATCTCCCCAGACACACACCCAGAGGAGCCAGCCCCATTGGAAGTTTCCAGGGGCGATCTCAGGAGTAATAATCCCAGTAATTGGAGGCCAGCAGGTGGAGATAAGGTCGCTAAGCCATGATAATGCAGGAGGTGAGCCAAGTAAATGCTGGGTTCTGGGTCACTTTATAGGGATTCATGGGGAGTTCACGGCGGAACAGACAAAATTCTCGGTGAGTGCATGGTAATTTCCTACATGAAGAACCCAAGGGGCCTCAAGGGATCTAAAAGGAATTGTCGAGGTAGAAATTAGGCTGACTCCAGCCGACTAGGCTATTTAAGGGGCGAGCCGGACCGAGAACGCAGCGGCTGTTTGCGCCCCTCCTGCCTCCCGCGCGGCCAGCACCGGTCCTTGACAGCCATGAGCCGCCAACTGACCCGTTTCCCCGGCGAGGAGCGCCTGGGCTTCAGCGGCTGCTCCGCGGTCCTTTCCGGCCGAAACGGCAGCAGCTCCGCCTCATTCCGGGCCGGGGTCAAGGGCTTGGCCTCCTTTGGCAGCAAGAGCCTCTTCTGCCTTGGGGGCAGCCGGCGCCTGGCTCTCAGCGCTGCGGCGGGGCGGGGCGGCGGCCGCCTGGGCGGCTTCGTGGGCACCGTCTTTGGCAGCGCCGGGCTGGGGCCCGCGTGTCCCTCCGTGTGCCCGCCCGGGGGCATCCCTCAGGTCACCGTCAACAAGAGCCTCCTGGCCCCGCTCAACGTGGAGCTGGACCCCGAGATCCAGAGGGTGCGCGCCCAGGAGCGGGAGCAGATCAAGGCGCTGAACAACAAGTTCGCCTCCTTCATCGACAAGGTGAGTCCTCGGGCATCGGCCTGTCGCCTGCGTTGGGCGCAGTGTGCACAGGGGTGCCGGCTCTGCCACTGGCGAGATGCGTGGGAACCTGGGCGAGTCATAACCTTTCCGAGCCTCCCTTTTCCATTTGTAAAACGGGCACAATAATGGGTCTTGCTCCAGTGGGTTGCCTTGAGGCTTAATTGGGATGATTACAAAGTGCTTAGAACAGTGCCTGGCACACACTTCCAATAAACAGGATGTATTAGTCCGTTTTCAAGCTGTTGATAAAGACATACCCGAGACTGGGAAAAAAAAAAAGATTTATTTGGACTTACAGTTCCCCATGGCTGGGGAGGCCTCAGAATCATGACGGGAGATCAAAGTCACTTTTTATATGGCGGCGGCCAGCGAAAAATGAGGAAGAAGCAAAAACAGAAACCCCTGATAAACACATCAGACCTCGTGAGACTTATTCACTATCAGGGGGAGAATAGCAGGAGAAAGATCGGTCCCCATGATTCATTTACCTCCCCCTGGGCCCCTCCCACAACACGTGGGAATTCTGGGAGAGGTAATTCAAGTTGAGATTTGGGTGGGGACATAGCCAAACAATATCAAGGACCTTCATTTCTTTCTTGCATGAGACAAGACTGTGGGAAGGGAGGGGGCAGGATTGCCAAGGAATGGGCACTTTGAGAGCTTCCAATATCAGAAGAGGAGATGGGACCCACATTCAGGGCAGGGCATTAGGGACACAGGCCAGTAGAGGTTGCAGGACATGGTGCTTGGTGCTTGAGGAGTGGGGTGAGAGCTAGGAAGGTGATAGAGGAGGTGAGAGAAAAGGGCCAGAAAACTGAAGGGTGAGGCTGAGGAGGCACTTGGAAAGAGTGCATGTAAGGTTACAGGTGTAGGCTGAGGGTGGGGTGTCCAGAAATTGGGGTAGTAGGGAAGTTGTCTCTGGAGATTCCAAGGCAATGACCCCAGTGAGTGGAGAGGAGACAGGGAATGGGCTTCTCTTGTCTCCACCTGAGTAGAAGATCTAGATGGTGAGTGATAAGGGACAGCCTTTTAACAATAGCTGACATTTATGGTGCTGTCCCAAGTAATTCTCATTTACTAATGCACAACCCATCATTCTGTTGTTGTTCTGCCTTGCAGATGAGGATATTAGGACATGGGAGGCTAAGAAATGAATTCACCTTGGACAGGACTGTTGGTGGTGGACCGCGTGCCACCACTATGCTAGGGAATAGGAAGTGAGGTGGCTGCAGGGCACAGGTCTGCATGGAAGAAACACAGCAGCTGTTCCAGAGGCTGGGGCATTCTCTTGCTCTTTTATGTCTGTTGTTCCCTAGCATGTTTCCTTCTGCCCCTCAAGCTAAGAGATAGGTGAGAAGAGGTGTGTGGCAGAGGGCTCAGAGTTATTGAGTCTAAAAATGTGCACCCTGGCCAAGTATGAAGGAACCTTGTGAAGACGTGGTAGCCTGCTGTGAACAACAAAGAAATGAACAAACCAAGTGCAATTTAGGCTACACAACAGGAGGAAGGCTCTAAGTGCCAGTGTGCTTTCCAATGCCACTCCCCAGTCCCTGTTTCTCCCCTGCTCCCCATTTCTCTTTACTCAGAAAGCACCAGCATTTATAGCAAGAGAAGCTACCTCTGTCTCATGAAAACTCACTAAGGCAGAGGCAGGTGGTACCATTGCTTAAGTCCTCTTCTGATTTCTTATAGACTGGGTCCTATTTCTTGTCTTGGAGATCGAGGTGAGCATGTCCCTTGGCTGAATCCACCCAGGGATGAGCCTTGCTCTTTCCTACCCCCAATCCCCCAGGATGGCTGCCTCTGGTTTTTGGGGCCCTCTCCTCACTCTTGAGAGGCAACAGCATGGGGACTCTGGGCGATGACTGCCTTTGGGTTCCAGGTGCGGTTCCTGGAGCAGCAGAATCAGGTGCTGGAGACCAAGTGGAACCTCCTACAGCAGCTGGACTCGAACAACTGCAGGAAGAACCTGGAGCCCATTTATGAGGGCTACATCAGCAACCTGCGGAAGCAGCTGGAGACGCTGTCTGGGGACAGGGTGAGGCTGGACTCGGAGCTGAGGAACATGCAGGATTTGGTGGAAGACTACAAGAAGAGGTGAGTGAGTGGCAGGGAATATGCTTCTGGATGATCTGATTTCAAATGAGGTTTTTGTTTGGAGACAGCATTTTTGCTTCTTAGATCCTTTGCTGTTACCAGGGGAGGGAGGAACATCCAGTCAGAATGGGACTTAGGAAAAGAATAGATCTACCTACACCGGTTCTCCAAACTGTCTAGGAAATGTGTGCTCAATTTCTAGCACTGAAAATGAAGGAATGGGGGAAAGAGAGTTGTATCAAAACCAGATGGATATCTCAAATGCCTTTGCAGTTCCTCCTGAGTGAAGTTTTCCATGGCAGTTCCCAGAACGTAAGACACTCCACGAATTCCAGAACAAATTTTAAATCTAAAAAAAAAAGGATTTTAAAAACGTATTCCATGTTGAATCATGGCTGTGCTGCTGAATCCTGCCTTTAAAGAGAAAAATTGAGAATGTTTGAGGGATGATTGAGAATGAGTTGGAACCAGAGAGTGTGTCTTCCTCCAAGTTGAGCCAAATATGAGAGAGTGATAAATCAAGGCTCGGTGTGACCTGATATTTTGGAAGTTTGCTTCCAGATGCCAGGATTTCTAGGGGCAGGTGGCTTCTTCCACAATTCAAGTGGCTGGAGATGGTCAGAGCTGAGTTCTTTCTCTTGCTGCATATTCAATCTACTTGCCCATCTCTATTCTGAAATTCCCTCAAAGCAGAACCCTGGCCCAAGCCCTGCATGAAGAACCTGAGGAAGGAGGGGACATGGTCCCTGACCTCAGAGAGCACACAGGTTGTGAGGACAGGCTTAAAGAACAGTTTTAGATAGCCACCAATAAGAAGAAACAAATACAGTGTGAACTGAGATTGGTGGAATTAAGATGGGAACTGGAGCCCAACTGGAGATTCAAGCAGGGTCTGGAAAGAACAGGGGGCTGCCGGGCATAGTCCAGAAGTCCCAGACAGAGGCATCCAGGGGTGGTGCTATCTCTGGGCCTTTCAGATTGGAGTGGTTTTGTGCTCCTGAACACCATGAACTAGTTGAGCAACCACAGATGAGTCTCTGTGTCCTCTGTGAACTTTAGTTTTAGTATTTATGAAAACCAAATACTGATATCTGCCTTGCTACCTAACAGAGCTATTGAGAGGATAATGCCAGCCAGACAGTAGTATATTAGCAGCTTTGAAAAGAATCCAAGTGCTACACAAATGTAAGATATTGTTTTCCCTATGTCAGAAGTCCTGGCTTCACTAGTAACTAGCATTATGACCTTGGCCAAGTATTTTCATGTCTTTTGCCTCATTTATAAAATTGGGATAATAATAGAATCTACTTCATAGGGCTGTTGTGGGGATCAAATGAAATAATGTGTGTGAAGAATTTAGCACAGTGTTTAGCACGTAGTAAGAGGTACAATAAATATTAGCTGCATTTATTAGGAGTATTTTAAAATTGATTTTATCACTCATCTCTTCTACCTGTGGGTCCTCATGCCAGGTTTTTGCATCTCTCTTACGATATTTCATAAGAAATGCTAATCATATATCACCTGCGAATTAGAATTTTCAGTGTATGTGCCTTCTTGTTAAACTGTGAGCTTCTAGAAGATTCACAGTGTATATGTCTTAAGCATCATTGTATACACTGAAGCTTTTCTCATAGATTCTCTGAAATGGTTTTTGAAAACTCTTCACAATTAAAAAAATTTCACAATTAAAAAATTGAGACTGCAACTTTTAATCATAAGTGTAAGTAGTTTCAAAGAGTGTAATTTAAAATGTATTATGTGTATTCCTATTTGAAATTGTAATAGCCACATTACTCATTTAGATGTATCCAATTGCATCCAGGTGCTGCAGCAGGTTAGTGCCCATCACCCTTCATCTAAAAAGGCAATGAACGGGCTCTGCTTTAAAAATCATAACTTTTACCTTGATCCTTTTCTTATTTGAACTCCAATTTTCATGCCACTTTCCCTACATAATTTTGTTCTAATATAATATATTTTTATGTCTCTAAGTCTTTTATTGATCACCCTATCACAAAATATGCATGTATCTTGAAACTTTAAAAAAGTGTACTTCTTGTGGCCTGTATTCCCAGCACTTTGGGAGGCCAAGGCGGGTGGATCATTTGAGCTCAAGAGTTCGAGGCTATCTACAAAAAATGTAAAAAATTAGCTGGGCATGGTGGCGCGCATCTGTGTTCCCAACTACTCGGGACGCTGAGGCACTAGAATGTCTTGAACCTGGGAGGCAGAGGTTGCAGTGAGCCGAGTCATGCCACTGCACTCCATTCTGGGTGACAGAGCAAGATTCTGTCAAAAAAAAAAAAAAAAAAAAGAAAAAGAAAAAAAGAAAAAGAAAGTTTACTTTTTGTGATTGTAAGTTTTTAAATGTCAAAAGACTTATTTTGGGTTGAGTTATCCAAACAACAAAATATATTGCTAATTTTGTTAAATAAGTATTAAACATAAGAACTGAAAAAAAAATTGAAATTACATTTCTTAATGAGTTGAATGGGGTAGATTTTTTTCTAAGTGGCTTAGTTATCCATGTATGAATATTGTTCTTATTGAGCTGAGATAGGATTCTAGTCCTGTGTGTTTTCCATTCTTAGGTAAGTGCTGGGAAACTTTAATCATATAAGTAGATTTTAATGGAAGGAGTTTTGCAAGTCCAGTGTTATTTAGTTCTCAGAATGCCTTTCCAGTTTTTCTGCTTTTTCTTTCTTTCATAGTGCTGTTTCTAACATGCTGCATAATTGACTTATTTGTTGTGTTTGTTGTTTGTCTCTCTCTGCTTCATAAGGGCAGGGAAATTTTTGTTCACTTACTTATCCTAAGTGCCTACAAAGTACCCCACACTCAACATATATTTTCTTAGGTGAATGATTATATGTCAAAATCACATAATGACTCATCGTTAAAGATCATGTTTAACCATCTGTCAGCTGACAACTCAGAACCTTCTTTTTTTGAAAGCAAAACTTAAAAACCGTCTGACTTGCAAAAAGAACTTGTGTCATAGTCAGTAAAGTCATTATCTTCCAAATTTCTGGAAAATTTTTCAATAAGGCTTTACCAAGACTGATCAAATGATCATGCTTATACAACTTATTCTGTCCTTTAGGAGCACCATGTTTAATCCAATGGATCAGAAAGGACTGGAAACATAAAACATTGTTAATACTCAATACACCTATGCCAATTATTTATCCTTAAAGAATAATGTGATTCTGCCTCATGTTTTTGTACACGAATACACACACCGGCACATTTTTGAGACTTTGGAGCTGCAGATTTACCTCATTCAATTTACATAGAAAATATCTGCCCTCTAGCTTCATTGGAAAAGCCAGTCTTCATGTTCAAATCTGAGACATGAGTTGCTTTTTATCAGAAAAAGCCTGACTTCATTTCTCAATTCAAGTAAAAATAAGAATTTGTACTTTAGGGACTGTTATAAAATCCACTCAGCAATAAATTAAGAAATATGTCTTGTATAATAGGTTATTGAAAGCATTCAAGATTAAAATGATTTAGATTTAATATAACTAATACAACTACATTATAAAACAAGAGAAATCAATATGTGCTTTTTCATGGTTTAACTTTTAATTATTCATTGCAATATATTTTTAAATAATAAATTATTTTTAAGTTTATAATGCCATAAAACTTATCATTTTTATTTTTAATGTGTGTATTGAACTTAGTGCTTGGCCTCTAGAAGTAAATAATGTAAAATTATTTATAACTAATGTAATTGATTTTGATAGCCCACTTGGTCAAAAGTTTTCTGTGTATTTTAGGAAATAGATATAAACTACTAAAAATTAATTGGTCTGGCAACTACCATATGTTTTATTTTTATTAAGAGGAGGTAGACATTATTAAGTATTTTGTAAGATAATATAAAATAAAGTTTGACTGAAGAGAAATAGCTGTTTCATGACATAATTTGATTAAAAGGTTTCAGTTGTCTTTTGAATAAGACACAGAATCTGGGATAAATCATATAAACTGCTTTCTGTGTGTTTTATATAGCATGACTAGAAAGATCTGCAGCCTTGGAAGACATCCTAGTCACACTGGAAATAACTCCGTTCACTATCCTGCACGGCTTCAGCCATTCAACAGTGCCTTTTTTTTTTTTTTAAATACTTTAAGTTCTAGGGTACATGTGCACAACGTGCAGGTTTGTTACATATGTGTACATGTGCCGTGTTGGTTTGCTGCACCCATTACCTCATCATTTACATTAGGTATTTCTCCTAATGCTATCCCTCCCCCCTGCCTCCACCCCATGACAGGCCCAGGTGTGTGATGTTCCCCACACTGTGTCCAAGTGTTCTCATTGTTCAATTCCCACCTACGAGTGAGAACATGTGGTGTTTGGTTTTCTGTCCTTGCAATAGTTGCTCAGAATGGTGGTTTCCAGCTTCATCCATGTCCCCACAAAGGACATGAACTCATCCTTTTTTTTATGGCTGCATGGTATTCCATGGTGTATATGTGCCACAGTTTCTTAATCCAGTCTGCCATTGATGGACATTTAGGTTAGTTCCTAGTCTTTGCTATTGTGAATAGTGCCACAATAAACATACGTGTGTATGTGTCTTTATAGTAGCATGATTTATAATCCTTTGGGTATATACCCAGTAATGGGATCGCTGGGTTAAATGGTATTTCTAGGTCTAGATCCTTGAGGAATTGCCACACTCAACAGTGCTTTTTGAGGAGGGGGCTGCCAGGGACATGCCTTAGGAATGAGCAAAGAGCTGAAAAGGATTGTTTATGTTAAGTACATGAATAAAAAAGCTATTACCTAGCCTTAATTCTTTTTTACACTGTTTTACTGAGGTAAAATACACATAACAAAATTTACCATCTTAGCCATTTTTCAGTAGACAGTTCAGTGGTATCAAATACATTGCAACCATTATGACCGTCCACCTCCAGAACACACTTTCCATCTAGTGAAGTGGGAACTGTATACCCAGTTAACACTAATTCCTCATTTCTTCCTTCCCCTCTTCCCAGCCCCTGGCTCCCACCATTCTACTTTATGTCTCTGACTTAGACTACTCTACGTACCTCACATGAATGAAATCATTTGTCTTTTGGAATATTTGTCTTTTTGTGATTGGCTTCTTTTCACTTAGCAGAATGTCCTCAAGGTTCATCCATATCGTAGCATATTGTAGAATTTTTTTCTTTCTAAGTCTGAATGATATTCCATTGCATGTATACACCACATTTTGCTTATCCATTTACCATTAATTATTTCTTACCAATGCTCTATTTTGTTACCATGCTCTCACAAATGTCCTGTAATGTATTCTTTGAGAATAATAAGGGATGGAAGAGGTAAGCTCTTTAAATAAAATGATTAGTTCCCTTACCTCCCCAATCAACAACATATCTGTATTAAGAACATCCCAGTCCTAACCAAATTTCTGTGTCTTAGACCTTGCTTCTGTTTCTGCTTCACCTGGAACATAAATATGTATAAGAAATAGGTATAACATACAGTTTGAAAGTGACAACAATGCTTTTGTTTGGTGCCTAGGAGGTTTTTGCACCCTGAGTCATTGCACAGTATCAAGATGCCATGTGCCAGAAGGGAATGCCTTTTCACCTCTGCTATAATGTGGGAGGGGCTAATTGTGACAGGGAGAGGGACAGTAGAATCTGCATGACATGTCAACCACAGGTGCTGTCTGAGGCAGGTAGTTTTAAGGCAGACTGCATAGGGACAGAGGAGCTGGAAATTGATTCCTTTAAATATGTCCTGGCCTGCATCCCCTTTAGGAAGGTTATGTGTGCCCCAGGGGTACATGAATCCCAGTTTGAAGACCCCCACACTGAGCTCTCAGCACAGAGGTGATAACTAACTGTTCAGTGAATGTTTGCAGAACTGAATTACCTCATTGTCTTGCCCCATGCAGGTATGAGGTGGAGATTAACAGACGCACAGCTGCTGAGAATGAGTTTGTGGTACTCAAGAAGGTAAGAGGGGTGCAAGGTGGGCTGGAAGAAGCCTAGAGGCCTCCCTGACCACCTGGCACAGTGATGCTTGTAGGGTGAGGAAAGGGGCCCTGTAGGTCACTCAGTCCCTTGAGCAGGGGTGACTGGCACTTTAACTTCCCAACCCCTCCCTCCAAGTATCCCTTGCCTGGGATGCATGCTGTTTCTAGATACAGGTATCCCTTGCCTGGGATGCATGCTGTTTCTAGAATTTGCCAGTCTAAAATCTGGGCATTTTACTGCACTACTGGTGTGGCCATTGCACTGCATGTTAGTTGGTTTACTCTCAGGGACTGAGCCCCCCATGAAGCCCAGGGTGAAGGGAGCAGAGACAGCAAGGCTTCCTGTGGCAGGGAGGGAGGGATGGGCAGGGAAGGCCCTCTCAGGGCTACTTGACTGTCACGTGCTCCCAGGACGTGGATGCTGCTTACATGAACAAGGTTGAGCTCCAGGCCAAGGTGGACTCCTTGACAGATGAGATTAAATTCTTCAAGTGCCTTTATGAAGGGGTAAGGACTTGGTTGACCTCTCTTGGGAGGTCTACCCCTTTAACAAGTGGCTTCTGGCCCCTGGCTGGAGGGTGGTGTGGACCAAGAATTGGGAGGGAGAAAGCTTTCAACCTGGTGGCCCTGACATTCACCAAGGCCCTTCTGGGTGCTGAACAATGAGTTAGGTTTTGAGGAGTCCATGAAGGAGAAGAAATGATTCTCACCCTCCAGGAGTTCACAGCCTGGCAGGAAAACACCATATAGCTGAGATTTCAGAGAGCAGAGGAAGGAATGGTGGGTTCTGCCTGAGCCATCAGTGAAGGTTCTTGGAGAGAGAGGAGAAAGAGGAAGATTTCAGTGGGTGCTGAGGGGGGCAGAAAAATGGAAGGTCCAGGAGCCTGTCCTGTGCTAAAGCACAAGAAATGAGGAAGGGTGCAGAGGCCTGGGGAAGGGACCAGTGCTGGTGACTCCCTAGGGGCCTTCACATGCTAGGTAAAGAGTTCAGACTTGGTCCTATGGGTGGAGGGTGGTGGTGGCTGGTTTCTGAGGATGAGAATGTAGAAGAGGGCAAGAGTGGTTCTGAGTGTGTAATGGAGAGAGGAGTCCCAGCGTTTGGGGCTGAAACCTAAGGGGCTCATTCACATGCCTGCCAGGCACTGGTGCTGAGGCAGAGTTCAAACGCTGAGGAGTGGCAGAAAGGGACGGTGGGAAATTTGCCCAGGAGGACCAAGAAAACTGGTTCCTCATGAGGACCCCTTAACTAGCTCCCCTCCCCAAACCGTCTCCAGGAGATCGCTCAGATCCAGTCCCACATCAGTGACACGTCCGTCATCCTGTCAATGGACAACAACCGGAACCTGGACCTGGACAGCATCATTGCCGAGGTCCGTGCTCAGTACGAGGAGATCGCCCTGAAGAGCAAGGCTGAGGCTGAGACCCTGTACCAGACCAAGGTGAGCTGAGTGCCAGGTGTGCTGAGTCCCACTGGCCACAGCTAGCACCCTCTCAGCATGTGTGCATGTGTATGTGTGTGTGTGTGTGTGTGTATTTGGGCTCAGTCAAGACCTCCTTTGTCTCGGAGTTGAGCCTTGTGGAAATGCCACCCCATGCGTAAGGGAGATTAACTACAGTCTCTGCTTGTTTTGTGGACATATATGGGGCTTAGCCCTTGTCCTGTCATGGCCTTTGGCTGAGGCCACACTAGCTACAACCCTGATAGGATTCTGGCTCTGTTTCTATGGGTGATTCACATATATTGTCTTATCTTCATGTTTTCTTCATGTTTCTAACTTTGGCAAATTGAGGACAGGAAATTCAAACTCTGCCAAGTCCCTCATGTTTGAGAACCTGAGGATCCTATTGAACTAGGGCAGGACCTTTTCTGTCCAGAAGAAAAGGAACCTGCCCTAGTTCAGTAGTATCCTTGTGTTCCTCTTCTCTTGTCACCCAACCTCAGATCCAGGAGCTGCAGGTCACAGCAGGCCAGCATGGGGATGACCTCAAGCTCACCAAGGCTGAAATCTCTGAGCTCAACCGCCTGATCCAGAGGATCCGCTCAGAGATAGGGAATGTGAAGAAGCAGGTGGGTTCTATGAAATGAATCCACTAACAGTATTTATTGAGTCGCAATCTGGGCCACACATAACATGAAGAAAGGGTAAAACACAGTGCCCTCCGTAGGTTCTCCTCTAATTTACCAGGAGAGGATGATCTGAACAGATGTGGAGGGATAAAGCAGCCTACACACTGTAGGTAAGTGCTGCAGGAGCCCAGAGGGGTGGGAGGTGAATGAGGACCCCAGGGAAGCTTTGCAGGAGGTGGAATTACACCAGGAGAGGGGAAAGAGCAGGTGAAGGAGCTGGCAGGAGCAATAAGCTTAGGTAGGGATGTGCACAGCACGCGTGCAGGTGGGCTTGCCTATCTGGGGCAGGGGGCTCGCTGCTCAGCAGGGGTGGCAGGGAGCAGGGGACAAGACTGGGTAGGAATAGGCAGGCCGTGGGGTTTAAACCTAACGCAGGAGGTAAGATGGAGCCATTTGAAGGTTTTGCATGATGATTCCTTGTGGAAGGAGAGAAAATCCAGCAGGAGATTTTAGAACAAAATGGAGGAGGCACAGCCCCCACAACCTAGATTGGGCTCAGGGCCATGCACTCGTGGGGGAGCTTCCTGCACTAGTGCTGTGCTGTGGGGAGGGCACTGCATTGAGGTCCTGCTCTCTGGGACGTAGTACCCCTGCAACCACACCTGTGGTTCTAAAGCAAGCAAACCCATGAGTTCTCAAGTTTGTGGAGGCAGTGCAAGGGTTTAAGACCCCATCTCCTTACCCTCCTCTGCACCCCATCTTTCACGCTGCATGGTGCATGCTTACACATGTACACACACACACACACACACATACAGACACTACTCCTCTGTGCTCATGGTAGTGGGAAGAAGAAAGACCAGCATTAAATAACCTGTGGTGTTTTTGTTTAATCAAGAGCTATGTAAGTGCAGAAAAAACACAGATGTTTGAAGCTACCCTCGGTATTCTACTACAGTGTTTAACTAATGAAATGCTATGTGTTTATGGTTGGATGAGATTATTACCAGAAAGTGACCTTGCTTTGGTGGTCAGGGAAGATATCCTCTGTGGGGAACAAATGGGGATCACTCGCAATGCTGAGTCCCCATTGGGGCTCCTTTTGAAGGCCCTCAGCTAAGGTGCTTCCTGCCCTTCTGGCATCCTCCATCACATGCAGAGTTTCTTGGCATTTGGTGTCCTCAGCATCCATGTGACATTTGTTTGAAAGGATGCTAGAATTTCAAGTCCTCTCAACTCAGGCCACGTTCAGAAGACCCAAGCTTTTGGTGTCCCTCTGCCCCAGGTTCACTCTGTGGGATCTTGGTCAGTAAAAAAGAACAGAAGACAGTTTGACAAATTCAGGTGACAGCGTGTGTGGCCACTCCATGAATGATTAAAACCTCTACAGTCCACAGGGTGGGGAAGGGTTTTCTGTGGCTAGAAGGCTGGGTCCTAGGCATCTCCTTGAGGCTGTGAGCCATTTATCCAAAATGCGAGGGCATTGGCACTGCTGGGGGCCTGCCCAGCAGAGGAGGATGGCGACAGCTGGACAATATTCTACAGCCCATTTGGCCTTGGATCAGCTGCTTTCCTTGGTGTGAAGTAAATGGGGCTCTACAAATCGGCATACCCCAGACAGAAAACCTCACCTCTCACCAAAACCTTAGTTGAAGGAATGCATCAGGACTAAAGGGCTCAGGAAGCTCCCTGGGGGCTTTCACATACGTGCAAGCACACAGCCCTAGCTGCAGTTATGCAAAGGTATCTTCTCCTAATTTATATATATTATATATATATATATATAGTATATATATATATATAAAATTTTTTTTTTCTTTTTTTTGAGTGAGATTCTCCCTCTGTCGCCCAGCGACGGAGTTCAGTGGTACAATCTGGGCTCACTGGCAACCTCCGTCTCCTGGGTTCAAGCGATTCTCCTGCCTCAGCCTCTTGAGTACTGGGACCACAGGCAACTGTGTGTCATCACTCCCAGATAAGTTTTGTATTTTTAGTAGAGACGGGGTTTCATCATGTTGGCCAGCTGGTTTTGAACTCCTGACTCAGGCGATTCACATGCCTTGGCCTCCCAAAGTGCTGGGATTACAGGCATAAGCCACCATGCCCAGTCTATTTTATTTATTTATTTATTTTTAATTTTAATTTTTGTTTTGACTTCTGGGGTACATGTACAGGATGTGCGGGTTTGTTACATAGGTAAACGTGTGCCATGGTGGTTTGCTGTACCTATCAACCCATCACCTAAGTATTGAGCACAGCATGCATTAGCTGTTTTTTTTTTTTTTTTTTTAAGCTATTTTTCCTAAAGCTCTATCTCCTTCCACCCGCCAACTGGCTCCAGTGTACATTGTTCCCCTCCCTGTGTCCATGTGTTCTCATTGTTCAACTCCTGCTTATAAGTGAGAACATGCGGTGTTTGGTTCTCTGTTCTCAGTTATGTAAAGGTATCTTCTAAGCCTGCTACCATTTAGCATAGTTCTCTGTGGGATTTGGGGACCAAACTCTAAGTGTGGCAAGTTTATAGGACATTTTATTAGTAGGAACTTTATTAACCCTCATGTTTTCCCTGTGATTTATGGGATCTCCTAAAACAACCTGTACACTGCAGAGCTGAATGAAGTCTAGCTGCTCACGGACTTTTTTTTCAGAATTGACATAAGAATCTTACAGCTGATATTTCAGGCCAGGAGGGAGAGGGCAGGGGCCACATGTCCAGGCCAACCACTTTCTCAGTGCCTTCCCCTCCTTCCTCCCAGGTGAAGGTTTTCTACTTTCAGATGCAGAGGAATGAGCCAGGGTGAACCATGCCTGGAGTGAGGGGAAGAACAGACTCACTTCTAGGGATGGCCAAAGTTGGATAAACCAATAGGATCTCCAAGCACTTACCATCAGTCAGGACAAAACGAGGGGAGGTTGTCCAAGCAAGATCTCAGAACTGGGCTCTAACTCTTAAGTGCTGGATCTGTTTGCCCTTCAGTGCGCCAATCTGGAGACGGCCATCGCGGACGCCGAGCAGAGAGGGGACTGCGCCCTGAAGGACGCCCGGGCCAAGCTGGATGAGCTGGAGGGCGCCCTGCACCAGGCCAAGGAGGAGCTGGCACGGATGCTGCGTGAGTACCAGGAGCTCATGAGCCTGAAGCTGGCCCTGGATGTGGAGATCGCCACCTACCGCAAGCTGCTGGAGGGCGAGGAGTGCAGGTGAGGGGCCGGATACCCCGTGTCGGGGCCGGTTTTATCTCTGCTGTGGTAGGAAGCTCCAAGGGAAACAGTTTGGTCCTGTTTAGGTCTTGCTGAAGTAAAACCATACAGCAAATGGGCTTGTCACATGATTAGGAAGGCCGAAATTGGACAGCAAGAAAGACCAAATTGTAAAAAATCCCAAAGGTTGTGGGAGAGGAGGTATTAATGCCGGTAATGTTTGAGAAACAGTATCCCCTGACCCTTCATGGTGCATTTTTGTGGGTGGGGTGGGAGAAGCAAGACGGCCTCTAAGGGCCGTCCAAGTTCAAGGTCGCTCCAGCAAAGCCGGGGGCTCCAATGGGGAGGTAAGCTCATTCTTCTTAATCGTCTAAGACCAGTGGAATGACTAGAGGGAAGTGGAGGCCTCATGATCCCACACAGCAAGCAGTTCCAAAGCATCTTGATGGAGGGCTGACTCCTTGCAGCAGATTTCCATTTCTCTATTTCTTGGGAGGTCGCACTGGGATGTGTGGGAAGAAAGGAGGCTGGGATGGGGTTGGGAAGGCACGTTCTGCATGGAGAGGCTTATTCACAGAGGTGACTTCCAGGTAGTTGGGGTGATTATTTATGGGGGATTTACCTGTTTTTCTTCTCCTTCTTCAGGATGTCTGGCGAATATCCAAATTCTGTGAGCATCTGTAAGTATCTGCAGATCTCAGTTCTGCCCTTAGTCACCTTGCCAGAAGTCCGAGTCCCTGTAATTCATGACACCAAAGAGAAATCAGAATGACAGAGGGGGCTCAGGGGAGACTTAAGGGCAAAAGGAATGAACTGGCTGTAGTAACTAGGGGGAAGCAGTGGATGGAGAAGACGATCATGAGAGACAAAAGTACAACCTATAGAAAGATCAAATGATACTCATGAGTGTATCATCCAACGAATGATGCTTAATGCTGACATTATTTTTCTGTTGACCAAAACAAAGGCCCCAGATTGTAGTTAAGGGGGACTGAGGGACCTAAAGGGTTGAGTGATGGAATGAATGAATTAGATGGAATGGTTGAATGAACGAATGAGAGCACATCCTCGGCTGTAAAAGCTGGAGAGCCTGTGTGGAGATGCTGTGGTGCTGAGAGACAGGGCCCTCAGTGGCCCCTTTCCTCACCAGCAGACCAGCAGCACCAGATGGGCCCTGGGAAGTGCCTCTCTTCATTTGTCCTGCCCATGGGGGAAATTCACACACTAATTGGAAAAGGTAAAGTGTATGAGGCTAAATGCATGAAAAATGAAGCCGTATGATCAGTGCTGATAAAAATCTCTTAGTAAACTGAAACACACAACAGAGAGAATCCATCTCAGCAGGAAGCCACTGCAGGCGAGAGTAAAGGGGGTGGCCCAGGATGCCCCAGGAGGGGCTCTGACGTGGGGCTAAAGCTGACTGGGGCTGAGATCTTCTCTCATTCATTCCAGCCGTCATCAGCAGCACCAGTGCTGGGGCAGGAGGGGCTGGCTTCAGCATGGGCTTTGGCACCTCGAGCAGTTATAGCTACAAAACTGCAGCTGCAGACGTCAAGACCAAAGGCAGCTGTGGCAGCGAGCTCAAGGATCCCCTCGCCAAAACCTCGGGGAGCAGTTGTGCCACCAAAAAGTCCTCCAGATGATGGACAAGTGGTTGGCTCTGTGAGCAGAAGGCTTCCCAATCCATCCATTTCCTCCCTCTCCTTCCCTGGGCTCCCTTTCCAAGTCAAGAAATGCTTTGTCTGTCACTACAGTCCCAACTCCATTTCCTCTCCCTGTTGTCCTCAAGGTGTGATGCTTCGATGCAAGGAGTCCAGTCATGAGCTCTCTCAGTGGCCTCCTTCTTAGTCCCGTTTCGTTGGGTCATTGCCTGAAATGCAAAGACAACACACGTACCCAGGATGCTTCCCCATGGCCAGCTACAAGCCCCTCTGCCTCCATGCCTTTCTAGGGCCTTTGCTGCCAAGGGACTCTCTTCATCTTCTGATTGGGATTGTGTCCAGTCCTCTACTTCTCCTGCAATAAATGAGTAAATCTGTTTGGTTCTCAGTTGAATCTGTTGCCCAGAATGTCACCATCTGCAGGGCCTTAACTTTTCTTCATCTGACAATTGTTTCACTCTGGGTCCTGGGCTCATGTGGCTCTTCACTGGTTTTAGCCAGGTAAGTACTGGGAGAGGGCTGATCCTTGTAAACAGTTGAAATGTATTACCGAGGCCGCTGCCGGGCAGGCCCTTTGCTTCACGTGCCCTGTGCCACCTATTCTGCACAATAGCCCTGTGAGACATCATTACCCCACATCAGATACAGATGTTAGAGCTCCGCACGGCTTCCTGCTCTGGTTCTCAAAGCACCCATGGCTGTGCACGCTCACTGTCTGTGTAGCGAGTGGTCGTCCCTTCATTCTCCCCAGCGTCTCACTCTCCATCACCCACCACTCACTCCCCAGTCCTGCTCCCACACAGTGACCCTGCCTTCCTCTTCTTTTAACCGACTTCCTTTTTATCCTAATGTGTAAGGCCTGTGTGTGTATATGCTTATAGCCTCTCTGTCTAAGGTATATATGAAGTAGTGGCTCATTTAACAAATATTTAGTGAGCAAGGCATTGCTCAGGCACTGGGATTACCAGAATAAACAAAATAGGCATAGACACTGGCCCCACAGAGCGAGAGTGAAAATATGAGTGATATATAATATGAAGTCAAGCAGTGTTAACTACTATGAAGAAAAATTCAGTGGAGTAAGAAGCTGAGAGATTCAAGGATGCTCTTTTAGCTCTCTGTATGTGTGTATGTGTATGTGTGTGTATGTTTGTGTGTATGTGTGTATATGTGTGTGTATGTGTGTGTTTCCACAAGAATGTTTGTTTCTCAGAGTCAGCACAGTTGATTTGAGAAAAACCCTTAACGCAAGACCATCTTTCAAGTGCAAGCTTCGTTTGAGGGTGGCATTCAGAGTGCCCGAGATCCTGTCTCCGCTGCATCGTTTCCCACTTTATTCTCTAGCCTTTCCCCATGCAGGCCAGACTTTTCACACCTGAGGGCCTTTGCACATAACATTTTCTCAACCTCAGATGTCCATTACCCGCTGATGGACGGCCTGCGCACCCTGCGGGGCCTGACTGAGACTCCACCACCCACATTTCTGTGGTGCCTGGTCCCTTCAGGTGGACTACCCATCTTCAAGCATTACATGAGAAGGATCGTTTCAGTCATGGCCCAACACCTCCCTGCCCCACACCTGCATTCTACAGGCAGGCAGACTGAGTCCCAGAAGGCTGAGTGATCTGTCCATATTCAGAGCACTGGCGAGCAGCCGGGGCTGGACCAGTGGCCTTCACACTCACAGCCCTGTCCTGAACCTGTGTTAAAGCCAACACTCTATTTTTCTGGTGTCAGGTCAGCTGCTCACATGTCTGTCCCTCACTCCATGCCCTACATCCCCTTGTTCCAGGGTCCGGCTCACAATCAGCACTTTTGCAATGGGAATGCATGCCTTAGTTTAGCCCACCTTCCCTGGGAAAAAGAGCTGGATATACACACAACATACCCATGTCTCGATGGCCTGGTGTGCAAGTGATAAAACATATTTGTGTTAATAAATTTGTGTTTTATATGCATTTGTATGCAGGCAGTCACTCAAACTGGGACACTTTTGATCTAAATAAATACTAAGCTGGATCCTTGAACAACTGGCAAAGCCAGGACTGTCAGATAAACGGTCCCCTTGGGCCTAGCATTGTGGCAGAAGAGTCATATACCAAGTTTTGAAGTCTGGCTCTTCTAATTGTCAGAAGTGGCCTAGTGCAAGGTCCTGCGCCTGTGAAAGAAGATGAATACAAGCTGGTCATTGCGAAGTGCTTTCTGTGCGCCAGAAGCTGTTCTCAGCAGTCACTCTGCTCAACTCTTTACGGCTGGTAACTCAATGAATTCTCCCAACAATCTGACATGCATTATTTTTATAAGATGTGATTATTATAATGTCCATTTAACTTGTGAAGATATTGAAGCTTAGAGGAGTTAAGTAACTAACCAAATGTCACTCGGTTAGTAAATGGGAAGAACTGAATTCCAGTCTGATTCTGGAGTCTATGCTCCTGGCTTCGACACCTCCTTACCTTTCAAAGAACTCACCTTAGAGGAGATCAGAGAATAGGAAAAGAGATAAGGGAAGTAAACCAGTGCCTGGAACACAGTCTGCCACCTGTAGATGCTCACTGTTGTTATTCGTATTTTCAAAGCATAAGTCTGTGTTTGCCGGCTGTGGGCTGGTTCATGTCCGAGGAGTGTGGATCAACAGCAGGACTTTGCCCTGGCCGAGATGGGATAAGTGAGGGGTGGAGTCCATTAACTAAATTAACTAACTAATTAACTAAAATACATTCCTATCTGGTCACTGGCTGTTCATTTCCAAGCCGGGGAAAACCCTCGGTGCCTCTATTTTGTGCACACACTGCCCTCTGCCATCGGTCCTGGATACTGCACTTTCCACCCCTGTGACTGGAGGAAAGACTTCCCTACAGCAGGGAGGGTGTAGGATGACCCTAGACAGGCTCTGCGCCCCTTGCGGAGCTGCCAGTGGGAGGGGATGCTGTTTCACTCCCTGGCGTGCCCAGGCTGGCCCCAGCCTCTGTGTTGCCTGGGCCTGACTCCTGTCTCCTCTTCTCTCCTCTCTGGCCTCTCCTCTGACAGGAAGGAGGAGGGGGCAGGGGCTGATGCTGCCTGCTGCCTGCTTCCTGAACCTCCACACCTCTAGTTAGAGAACCTGAGGCCTTCAGACAGCTTTTCCTGAAAATCTTGGTGCTGATCCAGAGGTCCTTGGAGTGCGGGCCCCCATGACTCAACTGAGACCCCCTCTCCTAAGCCCTGCCTGCTCTGTGTGCAAACCCCTCCCTCCTCTGAGAACTCTTTCTTTCTCAGGCAGTAGATGAGCCAGTCATGGAGGCACCGGCAAGGCACAGCCAAGGGGCTCCATAGGACGAAAGGCCTGAGAGAGGAACACAATCTGGAAAGGCTTCCTGGAGGAGGTGGTAACAGGGATGTGAATTGTTGGAGACAGGGAGCTTGTTAAAGACTGCTTAGGTCCCATTTGGCAGCTGCTCTGGGGTTTGAGCTGCCCTTTGCCAGCTGTTTCCAATCTCCCTCTCAGAGGCTCTGCCACTTCTGCCGCCTATAGAGTGGCAACTAGACAAAGGGCAATTGTTCTGCACTGCCCCTCAGTCCTTACATTCACATTTAGCAAAACTTCCAGGAGTGCCAGAGATGTTGAGGGTCTCTCCTCTCCTGCAAACCAGCTGCCATTGGCTTGTCTATCCCTCCTCCCTGGTGAGTCATCCATACTGCATCCCCATTTAGATGCAGACCCCTCTCAGGGGCTTATCCCCGAAATCCCTCCTTCTTGCTTCCAATTCGTCCATCTCCGGGAGAGATTCCACATCCTTCTTCCCAGAACTCCAGATGCAGCCCAAGTTCTAGATTAGAGCTGCTCCCAACTCAGGACCTGAACCATAGCGTGGTGGATCCAGGACTGAAAGGGACCTTAGAAGTCCAGCGTGGAAGTACACACACTTTGCAGTCAGCCAGGTGTGGATCTGAATCCTTTTGTTGATTTGTTTCTTTTCCCAGTTGTAACTGCGATATGGGCAACTCAGTTTCTTTGCTCAATTTCTCTTTCCTCACTTGTAACGTGGGAAAAACAAGAGTATTTACCTGACAGGTTGGTGTGAGGATGAAATGAGTTAAAATGTGCAAAGAGCTTAGTACAGTGACTAGTGCATAGCAAGCTCCATGTCGCACCTGAGGCACACCTGCCAGGCTAGCTTCTGGCTCCATTCCAGTCCCATTACATTCTCCTCCAGCCTCCCAACCCACATCCATTTCCAGAAGGTTCTCTCCTCCTGGAAGGGCTGCTGGTTCCTCTGAGCCTTCTCTTTGGCCCCTGTTATAACATGCAGCCCCCACCCTTGCTCCACACTGCCCCTGTTCCTCTTCCCTGAAACGGGAGCCACTATGACCCAGGACTTGCTTTCACCGGCTCTCGCTTCCAGACGGCTTTCCCTGCGATGTGAGTGGTTCTCCTCAACTCTCGGATCTGCAGGCTCCTGGTTCATTTCATAACCTGCCTCCTGAGCCCACAGCTGTGTGTCCAACCTGGTTGCCCTGCATAAGACACCATTTGCCTCAGTGGGGGCCCATGACACTGGGAAGATGGGGACTTGGTCTCTTGGTGTCAACATCTCCTGCCTCCTTTTCTGCAGGAGAGGGGGATAGAACTTTCTAAAAGGGCTGGCTGTGGTCTTGGCTCCAGATGGAGGAGCTCACTCTCTGACCCTGAGGCTCAGGTGCCAGTGTCAAGCCTCCCCTAGGTCCCACCTGCCCAAGCCTCAAATTCCATGGCAGGTCTGCATTGGTGAGGGTGGTGCTGAGGGTCCCTCACCCCACAGCAGTGAGAGGTTCCCTGTATCCAGCAGGCCACCCATCCCTTCCACCTACAGGCCAGGGCTGCATGGATGTGTCTCTCATGGAGCTCTGAAGGGCTCAGTTCAGTCTCCTGCCCTAACCTCAGGGTTCATCCTCCATTCTCTCTCTTTTTAGCCCTTCCCTCAGCAGCAACTTACCCTCCTCACTGACCCAGCCTTCCCTAGCTCCTTTCTCTAAAGACTCCACTTCTTCTATTTCTTCTTGACATGCTACTTTTATGTTTCTTCCTCCCAATTTCCACATCGCCTATGGTGATCCAGGCCCCTAGTGCTTCTGCCCTGCCTGGTATCTCTCCTCTTCTCCTGTCCCTTCTTAATACCTTTCCCCAGGGCCCAGCAGGCTCAGATATGATGTGGGCCCAGGGAGGGAAGCTGGTCATTCCTTCCACACTGGAGGTAGTTGCCACCCCAGCCCTGACCCACCACTAGAGCACTCCCCAGGGACGGTGCAGGGTTGGGCTTCTCCTTCCTGTTTGGATGGATTGTGTGATGCTCTGATGATGGGAGATAGAGAGCATGTCATTAGCGATGATGTGGCTTAATTACAGCCCAATGCACAG